ATCTCATATGATAGGTATTACTGTAGCCATTTTATATTAAAAAAAAAAAAGAACGGAGGCTCAGAACAGTTAAGATACACGTTGTAGTGAATAAATCGTAGAACTGGCTGAAAAGTACATCTTCTTAAAAATTTCAAAGCCCATGCTTTTTTTCATTATGTTACACTGACTTTCATTAAGAAGTAGTATTCACATATCACAGATGAGATCTCAAAAATTGCTTAATGGATAAAGAAATGAATGAATTAAGAAATGATGTGTAACTGAGGCATGTCAACGCCACAGCAAAAATAAAAATAGAGGTTAAATAAAACGGAGACTAAAAAAGAGAATCCCATGCTTCAACCTAGTAATTTTCCAAATAAAGCAGAAATTATTCAATACATTTTCGAACTGCAAGAGACCCCAAGAGACCCGTCATATTGGGACACTGCTCAAGAGACTTCATGGATGCAAAGAAGTTAAAAAACACACTCCTTCTAAAAACACTCCTCAAACTAACAAAAAGAATAAAAACCAAAGCCACAGTGTTTTACACCTCAATAATTACAGTATTGCTAATGTTTACTGGGATGGAGATTCAAAACGTTCTCTGGGATCTTGTTCCAGGATTTTAAATATGTTTTTCAACCTGAGGTTCTTCATCACATCTAACCAACTTTTAAACAGTTTAAACACGTTTTCTCCACCTGTGTCTGTGGGGAAATGAGAAATGCCAATCAGCCTCCAGACTATTCACCCTCTACAGACAGATCTACGCCTTCTGCACCTTCACAACAACCCTCCGCTACAGATAACAATCAGTGGTGTTATTCAATTAAGTTCACCGTTAAGTTCACAATCTCATCTACAGCCTCAAGATAGAAATGGAAGGCTGTGGGGGCAAATTCTTTCCAGGAACTGCTAAAAAGAATAGTCCCTGGGGAAGGTACCATTTAGAAACACTCAAAATTTGGTACTTAGGATTTATCACTGCCCAGGACACTCAGTGTTGCACTTTTATGGATTCTGCCTGTGAACATCTTTCAGCAAAAGCTGGCGTGGCATATGCGCTCACACAGCATCTGTCTCCTTCTCCCCTAAGCAAGAAGAAACGAGTGAGCCAAACCAACCGAGCTGCCTTTGTGTGGTGACAGATTCTGGCTCCAGTGAAATACATTCCAAATAGTGAACTTAATGAATTAGGCCAAGTAGCTCCCAGTTCACAGGTTCGACCTTGACCCACCTCAACTCTCACGATACAGAACTGCTTTCAGCTTTTTTAGGTAGAAATAGCCATATGATATCCTAACTATGTCAACTATTATTCATAAACCACTTAATTACATTCAGTTTTTTTTCAACCAGCTTCTGGATCCTCTAAAATATTCTTACGTCTTTCCTTATCTTCTGCAAAACCAAGGTAAGAACATGAGTATGCCCCCCTTTATGGAACGGTCACTTACAACGTAGGACAGTATGGTGGTAGAGCATCTCCACCAGTGCTACCAGTATTAAACTAGGTTACTGATAATTGCTGGTGCTGCTTTGATATGGTTCAATCACATAACTTCTCTTTATTTATGAAAGGGTCCAACAATCATAAATGCTTTTGGGGGAGGAAGGGAGAAATGTTCATCATTTAAATCATAATATTGCTAAAAGCAGATCTTTTCTTTGTTTCATTTTTTTTTTTTAATCTGCATGCATCACTAGCCAAACTCTAACCCAAGAAAGGAGAAGGACTTGGGGGAATAAACTTGAGGATGAATATGCCAAATTCGCCGAACACATGATTCATAACGAGAGAAAAGTATGCACACATTAATAAAAATATCAGGACGCAATCCTTCAGGTAGTTGGCTGCTCAGTGAATACTCCAAATTCATAACCTATTTTACTATCAAAATGCCTACGGTTTGATGAAAGCATGAAGAGTTTATGAAGACAGTAAGATGACTGATGAAGAATATTCTTTGCTTTCCATTGGGAACTTTTGTTTGCTTCTAACTGTTTAATTTCTCCTCCATCTCTCTTTCAATTAACCTCCCTGTTTGCATTCAATGAGATGGCACATTATGTGGAGAAAGGAAGAAAATCTTGCTGATTTATGAGTATTCGTTCATAAAGTGAAAGCTCCTTTCAGCCAGACGCCTAAGTGTTGAAATAGAGAGGAAATGAACAGAGCAGTAACTTTCCTGAATGAGAAAACATACTGTAGTTTTCCGGGTTGTTTAATCAGTGGGTCACAAAAGCCTCCTTTTAAATGGCCCCTGAGACTTCACTGGGACATATATACAGGTAGTAAGTAGAGACGGGAAAAGCAACTGGATCTTTGTATGCCAAAATTTGGAATAACTGGTTCTAAGAGTATAAAAAAGCAAAACAGTAATTTAAAGGCTCTCTACATCTTTTAAAAGGTTCACTCTGAAGATCTACTTTTAAATGAAACAGGTCCTCTACTTCCACATTGTTAGTCTTCTGGAATATAAAGGCAACAAAATAAAATGAAACAGTAGAAAATGGAATTGTTAACAACCACAGCAAGACAGGCGAGATTATAATAAAAACACTTTTGACTAACAAAAATCCCCTTTGTTCCCAGACAACTGGAAACTTGTTCCAGAACAGCTCCTCTGTGGGACACTAACCATGTCATATTACCAAGGGCAGCGAGGACACCCACTGAATGATTTATTTGGTGGCTGTCGGCTGGCAGGTCAAATCTGCTGACGGATAACTTATGCACACATGTGTTGGCGGTACTTCCTAGGACACAAATAGTCAAATATGTACAATGTTCCCTCTAGCTAGAACCCATTCCCTTACAATGGGGGTGGTGGGGTTATAAAATGGGGTGGAATACAATGAGAGGCCTGTTTTCCTTCTAGTGTATGGCCATTCTGGGATGGAGCATGGAACCGTTTGGCTGCAGGATATTACACTGTCCTCTGAATGTCCACAGAAAGACAGGCCAACTGCGGTGGTCAACTTTCTGCCTTACTGACATTCACAAGTGCTGCCCACGTGCCCGGCAGGCAGCCACTGCCCCGCGGAGCCCCTGCCAGAGCAGAGGAGGAAAAAGCCGTATCTGCGTGGAACCGTGGGGACCAGCGCTCTGCACGCGCCCTGAACATGCGCGTTTGCAGTTTACCTCAGTAGGACTGCACGTTCCTCAGCTGCTGGCAGTAGCTCACCTTCAACAGGTGAGCCTGGAAGGATGTTTCACAGGTGAGAGTTCACATCAAGGCCTGATCTGCAGACGTCTGCAGGGCTGGCCCTTCGCCGGCACCTGGAAAGGTGGCTGTTCCCTGCACTGATGGGGTTATTTCGCCCACCTGGAGCACTAAACACCTGCTCTTCTTCTGAGAGTCTGGAATTTCGGTGGTTGTGGCTGATGGAGGCTACCTGGTTGAGCAGCCCCAGTAAAAACCTCTAACTCTGAGCCTCAATCGAGCTCCCCCGTATGGAAACACTGCACACACGTCGGTGCGTTTCCCTGTGGAGAAAGGAGCGTGGTTCTTGTGGCCTCTCTTGCTGGGAAAGAAAGCATGGAAAGTCTGTACGTGGATTTCTCTAGACAGCCCCCCACGCCGATGGATCCTTCCCCTTTCTGGAAACTACTTTAGCCCTGGACATGACTACACTGAGTCCTGTGAGCCCTTCCAGCGGACCACCACATAGTGGGGGTGCTAGTGGGACCCCTGGAGCAGACGTCAAAGATCAGCAAGATTAGAGAAGAGCCTTAACATTTTAGATACAGTTGTGACAATTTATAAAACGAAGTGATTTCAATTTTCCCATGAAAAAAAAATTCCTGGTTAATTAATTCCTTTTTTTTTTTTTTAAAGTGAAGTATATAAACTTACAAATGCATTGGAAGAAGAACTCTTTTAAGATATCGAGACTCCCCACAATGGACACAAAACAATATGGAGAAATGCCACACCTCAAATTATGAAATTTCTGTAGGACTGTGCCGTTTATAATTAATGTTGTGCACTTTCCCTGAAGTGGGTAGAGATGTATTACTTTTGTTGTACTTTGTTTTGGTAAATGTTTTTCATTTCAGTGACTCAAATGGTAAGAGCTAAGGCACAGAATATTTTGAAAATATGGCACCAGTATACACGTTCTGGATACTTTTGAGTCCAGGCTAAATACCGCTTATTATATACGAACACTTTGATCTTAAACACCTATTTGATTGTCTTATTTCACCAACAGATGTGCCGGAGCCACATTTTATTCCACTTTAGTTCTCGTGGTACTACAAAATAAAGTCATAAAAACTCAACCCTCTTCGAGAGACTCAAATAAGTGCTCAGATGTGTGACTCTGGAATCTATAGGAGCCATAAACGGCTACATATCTGGAATGTTTTTCAAAGTAAAAGATATTGCTGTCATGCAGTGGTAATCAGAACATGAAAACAGAATATTCATCGAGAGCTGATTTGTAAGGAACGGAAACCGTCTTTACGTGAGTCCGTCTTGGTGGCCATCCCAAGAAACAAAGAATACAAAATTCTTACACCTCGTACTGGAGACAGTGGTTCTAAAGAACTGAATTGCCACTGTAAAAAGATAACCTTACTTAAGTAGTAACTTCTCTCTCTTTTTTTTTTTTTGGTGGGGGGAGGTAATTAGGTTTATTTACTCTTAGAAAAGGTACCAAGAATTGAACCCAGGACCCCATGCATGCTAAGCATGCGCTCTGCCACTTGAGCTATACCCTCCACCCTAAGTAGTAACTTCTTTTGAAGGAAAAAAGGAGGAAAAAATCAGGTCTTCCTGGGCTCTTAGGGCACACATGGGGCTGGAGGGGGGGCGTGGGGGGCCTACCGATGATGCAGTGCTGGGGGGGTGGGGGCCTACAGATGGTGCAGTGAGGGGGGTGGGGGGCCTGATGGTGCAGTGCTGGGTAGGGTGCGGGGGCGCCTAATGACGGCGCAGTGCTGGGGAGATGCGGGGAGCCTACCAACGGTGCAGTGCTGGGGTTGGGGGTGCGGGGGGGCCTACCGATGGTGCAGTGCTCTCCGTTCCAGCCTTGGCTGCATTCACACTTGCCGTCCTTGCACGTCCCGTGCTCTGCACAGCGCGGGTGGCAGGCTCTCTGGTTACACGCCGGGCCCGTCCAGCCTTCTTCACAGCGACAAGTCCCCCCCATGCAAACCCCATGGGAGCCACAGTCCACAGAACATATTTCTAGATTGAGCAACAGAGGAAGCGAGGGCAGGGGAGAAGGGTAGAGGGGAGGGAGAATGGGAGTTAATAAGAAGTGCTTTGTCTTAAACCCAGATGTGTTAAGGTGAAAAACAAAATGACTGAAAATAAAAATGAAGTATTTATAGGCTGCAAAGAACTATACTTTTTATTCATCGATTACTTTTATATGCTGCCCTTAATTGGGCACAAGATGCACATGACAATTCTGTTATAGTCTCCTATCTATATTTTATGTATGGCTACTGACAAAACAGAGTACAGGATTCATAATGAGATGGAAATACGTAAACACATTCATATATATGCATGTATATAGGGTATCTTTTGGTAGCCAAAAACACACGCACACATATATCAAATGATATAAAATTTAAGAAATATTTCAATGTCTAACCACATCAGGTATCTAAGGAGATGGATTTCACCCCATAGCAAAAATTGAAAAGGGGTTATTTTTAATCCTATGGTTTAAATGTTTTAAATATTGGGAAATTACTGTAAAAAAAGAGGCTATTTTAGTAGGCATATTAGCTTGCTTCTGACACACAGATATGCTGGTTCAATGAAAGACACTGTTATTTTTCCTATTCAGTATATTTGTACTGTTGACAGATATACGTTGCTGAGCAGAACAACAGTAGAAAACCAGTTTAATAATATATGTAACTACCGACTCTGGCAGTGAAAAGGAAGGTTTTTCAGTTATTAGAATTACTGAAAGGGGCCAGGTGACCAAAGGACTTTTAAAACAGCAACAGGTTAGGTCTTTTAAAGCAGAATTCAAGCATCTGAATTTTTTTTTCTTAAAAGCTTTATTTGACTAGATCTAATTGAGACAGAAAGAGA